AAAAATATGGAAAGAATCAACAAGGAAAACAGTTGAAATTGAAAATATGAATGATGGATAAATTTCTGTCATTCATAAGGGTTTAAAGGAGAAGATAATAAATGGAAAGCATCAAAAGAAGATATTGAAATGTTAAAAATGGGAATTGAATCTATTGAGAGTGATGGCAAATTAATGTACAAAATCATAGAGAAGAGTGATAAATATTTAACTCAGAAATCTAAAAGTGAAAAAACAGAAATAAAATCAGAAGAACTCAAAGAAGAAATAAATAATCATGAAGAGTTAGTAGAAAATATTGAGAAAGGGAAAGATTTCATTAAAATGAATGGACAATATGAAATAGGTAAAGTTCATTTAGAAATAACAAATGAAGATATTATTTTTATTGTTTGGTGGATTTTACAATCTGTTGTTCAAAACAACCTATTGGACAACATGGTATTTATCAAAATGATGTAAATATGAAAGTATTAAAAAATCAAATAACAACACTTGTAGATTCTAAAGTGATAATTAAAATTATTTGTTTCATTTGTTCTTTCATTACAGAAAAAGAAGAAATTCAAGAAATTGTATCTTCAAGTCATTTAAAGAAAAATATAAATAGATATTAACAAATGGTGATGAGAGAATTATTGAATGAATGAATTATACATTAAATAAATTTAAACACAAACAATTTAATAATCAAATCATGTTTATTGAATATAATTTAATTAAACAATAAGTAAAAAGAATAATAAAGTAATTTAAAGTGAAACAATGAAAGAATGGAGTTAATTATCAAAGAGATTATATTTTTGATTAACTTGTTAAATGAATATTTTATTAATCATTATGAAACAATACAAATCAAGTTAATATTTAAATGAAATAGAATATAATGTTTATAAAGAATAAAATGATTTAATAAATGTTTAAAAATGAACAACACTAATATTCTAATGAAATATTAAATTCAAAAGAAGAATGAATAAAATAAAAATGATATTTAGATTATTATTTAAGATATTAAAGATACAAATAAATAAATGAATAGAGTTATTTCATTTTGATGATAATATGATAATCATTTTATTTAATTGATGAAATATTTTTGTTTATATTGTATTTAAAACAAAATAATAAATAAAGTTGTTATTTATTTAATTATTTTTGTATCACAACACTTGTTTATTTACAATACTTGTTGTAGATATCTTCAAATATTTATTACATATCTTATTAACAAAATAATAATCTATGAATAAATTAATAAAAGTTAATTAATGAAAAATAAAGTGTATATTATCATATATTACTTAGAATCTAATTTGATATTAACTACTTTCTAACTCTGATATATTTGTTTTATTTCATCAATTGTGGTATTTCAGTATAATCAATTAAGAATATAATACATTTGATTTGTTCTAAACAAATTTAATTTAAACACCAAGATTTTCTTTTCTATTACAAAAGATGTATAATTGAGTTTAATTTTCAATGAAGTAAAATGTTTTTAAATGATGAGACATTAGAATAAAAGAAAAAGAATAACTAAGAAACTAAATAGTATTATCAATGAATAGTTTTATTCAAATATATTTCATTGAATATTTAGTTTTTATACACAATAATTTGATAAATAATGAAACAATTTTATAAGTTTTCATCATCAATTTCAAATCAAATAAGAAAAGAAGTTGAATGTATTAACAATGGATATTTTTATATTAAACAAATAAAGATAATTAAACAATAAATCAACATGAGTATAACTAATTGAATTAATAAAGAATTCTGTACTTTTACATGATTGATTTTTAATAATTATCAATTTATATTCTTCCAGTTGAAAGATAAGTATACTATTATGTTTATCTTCATTGTTTTTTAATAAGAAGGAAATAAAGAAAAATAGAAATCATCAAAAAGAAACAAGTTTCATTTTTTTAATACAATGAAACATTTTAAAACAGAGTTGGTTCTGTTTAAAAATAAAATAATGAGAAAACACTGAGAAGTTAATAATAAATGAATACTGTCAATTACTTTTTATTTAAACTCTAAAATAAAT